CAGTGGCTTTGGGAAGTGGAATCTAAAGCTCACCAAGAAGGTGACGAAGCCAACATGTCTCTGCGACCACGTTGGCAACAACTCGGTACTCGGCCTCGGCACTCGAACGGGAGACGGTAGGCTGCCGTTTAGAGGACCAAGAGACAAGAGAGTCACCGAAGAAGACACAATAACCGTACGTGGAGCGTCAAGTGTCAGGACAGCCAACCCAATCGGCGTCAGTATAAGCAATAAGCTCAGTCGAGGTGGAGGCGCGGAGACGAAGACCGTAGGTTGGCGTGTCGCGAACGTACCGGAGAATGCGCTTGACCAAGGACCAGTGAACATCACGGGGAGAGTGCATATGCAAGCAAACTTGCTGCACAGCAAACTGGATGTCTGGCCTCGTGAGCGTGAGGTACTAAATGGAGCCAACAATGCCGCGGTAGAGGGCGACATCAGCAGCGGGCTGGCCAGCGGTGGCGGAGAGCTTCGGCTTGGCCTCGGCAGGCATGGCGGCTGGCTTGCAGTCAGTCATGCCGGCACTATCCAGAAGATCAAGAGCGTACTGTCCCTGGTGAAGGAAGAACCCAGAGGCATCACGTCGCACATTAATGACGAGGAAGAAGTGAAACACGCCTATGTCCTTCAGCTCAAACTCAGAGCCAAGACGACCAATGATGTCGCGAAGAAGATCCTCTCGGGAGGCAGTGATGACAATATCACCGACGTAGAGCAGAAGCATAGCCACATGATCAGACCGATGGAGCACGAGCAATGATGTGTCAGAGGTGGTGCCGCGAAACCCGAGAATACCGAGGAATGCCGTGATGCGCTGGTACCACGCGCGCGGAGCCTGTTTGAGGCCGTATAACGACCGTGGCAAGAAGATACATCATCCGGATGTTGAGGGTCAACGAACCCGACCAGCTGCTGACAAAGAACCCGCTCCTAAAGATGGTCGTACAAAAAAGTGTTGCTGAGGTCGAGCTGATGTACGGTCCAACAACGAGAGGCGGCCAGCTAGAGGACAACATGAATCGTGGCGGGTTTGACAACCGGAGAGAAAGTCTCGAAGAAGTCAACACCGGCACATTGTGCAAAGCTACGCACAACCCAGCGAGCCTTGTACCTGTCGAGAGAACCGTCCGGGAGGAGTTTATGACAAAAAACCCACTTGCCGGAGATGACGTTCGCTCCAGGAGGACGAGGAACAAGGGTCCAAGTCCGGTTGGCGACAAGAGCATCATACTCAGCGCGCATAGCGGTGGTGTAATGCGGATCACTCAACGCAGAACGCACCGAGCACAGAACCAGAGAGATGGTTGTGACGCCGAGGTTGTGGTAGCACAGGTTTGGCTAATGCACCCCAGCCTTGGCACGCGTCACCATGGAGTGGTGAGGCGGCGGGGGAGCCGGGCGTGCACCGCGTTGAGGGGCCACAACCGGCGGCTCGGACAATGAAGAGGATGCGGGTGAAGCCACGAGCGAGGCCGGTGGCGTGGCCGGCAAGGCGCAAAGGGCCCAGCTGGGGACGGAGATGAAGGCGCCGACGGAGCCGAGAGGGCCGGCGTGAAGGACCGCGAGATGCGCGGAGACCCAGTCGAGGGCGATGCCGAGGTCGGGGACGAAACCCCCGAGGGCCCTGCCTGGGGCGAGGCCGGGAGCAGGGCCGGCTCCTCCAGAGCCGAGAGGAAAGGGCCCAACGAGGCCCGGGAGGCCGCCTCCTCCTAAGCCGACGAGGGGGACGTCAAGGGCAGCGAGGCCACGATCGAGGACGAGGAGTCCGACGGGGTCGCAGCCGTGCCCAAGCGACGAGGTGGGGGGAGCATAAGGGTTTCCCGAACCCGTCGAGGAGGGGTGTCCGGAGATGGTGCGGAACACGTCAATACCTGCTGAAAAGGAAAAAAAATCCTCATCAAAATAAATGTGCCGAGACATGATCACATGATGGGACTCCGGGTCATAACAGCGGAAGCCTTTGGTGTTGGGTTGATACCTAAGAAAGATGCAGGCAAGAGAGTGAGGTGCCAACTTGTGCGGTGCCGTGGCTGTGATATTAGGATTAGAAAGGCAACCGAATACATGGAGATCATCGTATGATGGAGGTGACCCGAATAGGAGATGACGAGGGGTGTAGTTCCTGCAGGGTTTACAAGGCCAGATGTTGAGAAGAAGTGTAGCTGTGGCAAGAGCATCGGGCCAAAACCGGGCAGGCATATGCGCGTGGAAGAGCAAAGCGCGAACGCTCTCTTTGAGCATGTGAAGAACACATTCGGCACGACCGTTTTGCTGTGATGTATATGGACATGTAAGACGAAAAATGGTGCCATGAGTGGATAAAAGAGTGTGAATAGCAAGGTTATCAAATTCCATCCCATTGTCCGTTTGAAGACGAGCAATGGTGCAATGAAAATGGGTGGCAACATAAGCATAGAAAGCATGAAGTGTTGAGGCAACGTCGGATTTGCGGCGTAACGGGAAGGTCCAAGTGAAATGAGAGAAATCATCCAAAATCACAAGGTAATATGATAAACCTGAATTGCTAGAATGGGAGATGTCCAAACATCACAATGAATAACATTAAAGGGAAAAGTGGCAATTGATGATGAAGAAGAAAATGGCAAACGAACGTGTTTTCCTACGCGACAGGCATGACAAGTGTGTGCCTTCGATCTATTACATGAAAACGGAAAAGTCTGCAAAACTTTATGAAGAACGTCGGCGCCGGGATGACCGAGACGAGGATGCCAGAGGGAGACGTCGACGTGAAGGGTGACGGGACCGCGGCTCGTCGTTGGGCCGCACGGATAGAGATCGCCGGGAGAATCACATCAGTGCAGAACCTTCCGGGAGTGGGCATCCTTAACAGAAAAACCATGTTTGTCAAACTCAACTGTAATAGGATGTTCACGAGTAAGAGTACGAACAGAACATAAATTTTTGATTAAGAATGGAGACACGAGAACATTGTTAAGAGGTAAAGATGACGATGAGAAGGGGAGGGAAGACGCCCGTGGTGAGTGATGGGAAGCGTAGAGCCATCACCAACAAAGATGCATGGGAAGAAGGGGTATGGAGAGCATGAGAGAGGATACCGGGGTGCGACGCCATATGAGCGGCGGCGCCTGTGTCCATGTACCAATCCCTGCCGCCGGAGTAGTTGCTTGGGGAAGGGGTGGCGTGGAGGGCGGCTAGGAGCGCCGAGTCGTAGGAGTAGACGGTGGGGGCGGAGCCGTAGGGGGGTGGCATGGCGGCACCGTAGGGCACAGGCCCACCGTATGCCGAGGAGTCGCCAGGACCGGAGCCACCCGGCGTGGCCAGCAGGACCTGGTGATGAGCCAGACAAAGGCCGAGGATGCCCGGAGCAGGCACCCGTGGCAGCGGCATGGAGTAGGCTTGTACCACCCTTGTCCAGGGGTTGTACCCCATGAGCCAAGGCGGGGGCGCCGAGGTCGGGGCTGGGGCGGGTGTAGCCGCCTGGCGGGGCTGGGGGCCGTCATTGTGGGCCCGCCCGTCGTGACCCCCCCCCCCTGTTTGTTCTGGCGGCCGCGGTCGTGGGCAGCGGGTGGCTGTGGAGCCGGGGCGCGCGGAGGCTGCGGGAGGGCAGCGGGACACCCGACGGTGCCGGCATGGAGCGCGGCGAGAGGCGCTTGCCGAGCCACTTGAAGGAGACGCTTCTCCTCCACGCGAAGGTAGGTGATAGCCTTCGCATAGGAGGGCGTGGTGAGGGAGAGGTTGGCGGCGGACTGGCCAAGGTCGGGGTGGAGGCCGCGAAATAGGTAGGTGAGGAGGACCGAGTCGTCGATCACCATGCCGACGTCGCGAAGCTCGTTGGAGAGAACTTTCAACTTGGTACAGTACTCGTCGATCGTGAGATCGTTTTGCTGCATGTTGAAAAACTCCCCTTGGAGGAACACATGGTGCTGAAGCTGATTGTCGAGGAAGAGGTCGCATAGCCGCTTCCAGATGGCATGCGCAGACAGGCCGCGGCAGTTCACCATGTCAAAAAGCCCACGCAAGACTGTGAGGAACAACCACTTTACGATACAAGTGTCGACGGCTAGCCACTCGTCATCGTCTTCCATGTCGCGGATGTCGACACTCCGGTCAACATGCTTAATGAGACAGTAGGAGCGGAAGAGAAGCGCGAAGTAGGTGCGCCAAGCATTGTAGGAGGGGGAGTCGAGCTCAAGGATGATGAGAACACAGTCTTTGATGGGGGTTCATTGAGGCGGTCGGAGGTGAAGGCGATGACGGTGGTGGAGCTGCCGAGGGAGGAGTGGGATCCCACCATGATGATTGAAAAACGGCGGCGGCTGGGAGGTTGGGGAGGGTTTAGGGTTTGGCGGCGGCGGCGACTTGGAAGAAGCGGCGGCGGCGGCGTGGGAGGAGGTAGGGTTTGGTGCGGCGGCGGCGGCGGCGTGGGAGGGTTAGGGTTTGGTGCGGCGACGGTGGCTTGGGGAGCAAGCAGCAGCGGCGGCAGGGAGAGAGGAGGCAGCGGTGGCGTGAGACGCGGCGGCGGCTTAGGGCGGAAGCAATGGAGATTGGTAGAAAACTAATACCACGTAGAAGACTATAGGATGCAACTAATTGTATTCATTAGAGTCTCTGTTACAATATATACAGGTGGTGTCTTGCGTGACAAGCCAACTAACCCCTACAGTATCTCTAGGAACCAACTATACAAGGCTAGAGATAATAGAAAAATGAGTCGGTAATAAATACAGAGATATCACGTTTCAACAATGATCAAAAGCAGCGAGAGTTTATAAGCAACAAAAGGTTAACAGCTAGTTGTGTGTCTTGCATCTTGACGTACACTGACCGTGTCAGCCTCTAAATTAGCCAGGCGGCCAGCCTTTATTATACAATATTTTATCACAATATACTTTGGCATTAAGTAAACACAATCACACACCTCCACGTCACAAGGTATGCCAACTAAAACCGCACAGAGAACACCGGCAAAACAAAATAATTTCACTTGTCACACAACAGAGTTCAACTCAAGGCACATATCACAATGCTTTGGTCTTCCCATGCCAATGGCTTTGCAGCCACCGACTCTTACACCTTTTAATCTTCTCTGCGACTTCGGTCATCGTCGGTCTGTCATCCACATCAACTTCGAGGCATTGCATCGCAATCAGTCCAACCTCGCCGAGGCACTTTACATCCTCCCCGCTGGACAGAATCTCGATATCATACATCTGCCCTGTAGCCCCTTCCGTAAAAGCCTTGATATAGTTTAGTGGAAGACTGTTGTTCCTATCATACCTTGCCTTCTTCCGGGTAATGAGCTCCAGTAGCACGATCCCGAAGCTGTACACATCGCTTTTCTCTGTGAGGAGTCCAGTCTTCATATACACGGGGTCAATGTAGCTACTGTCCCCGATCACCCAATTGGTGTGGTCCTTTTCAATGGACATAAGCCTCGACGTACCGAAGTCCGACACCTTAGGCATGAACTCATCATCAAGGAGGATGTTTCCGGATTTGACATCTCCATGTAGGATCTTCTGGCTCGCCTGCGAATGCATGTATGCAAGGGCATCAGCAGAGCAAATGGCAATGTCGAGGCGTGCTCGTAGGGAGATAGGTTCTCTTCGCATATTGCCATTCTTGCCATGAAGAACGTCATAGAGGCTACCCCTTGGCACGAACTCGTAGACCAACATAGGAACTTCTGCTTCCAAGCAACACCCCAACAGTTGGACCACATACTTATGACTTATTTGCGACTGAATTTGTATCTCATTAGCAAAATCCTTTTGGCGGTCCTTGTTGATTGCAATGGAGCGTTTGACAGCAACTTGTATGTATTCACACGTAGTTCCCTTGTAGACCTCACCGAAAGCACCTTTGCCTATTATAGTACTATAGTTCTTGGTTATTTTGTCTAGATCCTCCTTTCTGAAAATCTTGATTTTGATGCTTTTTAGTAATTTTCCACCATTCTTGTTGAAATGATCCCTAAGCTTCCTTTTCTCATGCTCCATGTGAAAGAATATCAGGAGTACTGCTGATATGGACATGGCACTAATTGTTCCTGTGAACAAAATATCTACTATGTGAGATCATGCCATTTTAAGTTTGGTGAGCACTAGTATATATGTAGAAGAGCACATGTACTAATTGGTTACTTTAGAACCACATGGCATATGTGGCACGCTATCACAAAAGGAATCTATAATTGGTTACTCTAGATGAAAGTCATAGCTAGCTAACCATAAATTTTTTAAAGTATTTCATTTTGAAAACAATCCTAACTGTGAAAAAGTGGCAGCTGCTTGTTAAAAGAGAAGATATCTTCCTAATTTACTCAAATGCTCTTAGAAAACAATCCTGCAGATTAACATGACAGTAGTTAGGTGTTAAATTTGGCGAACATGATCGATTTACATTGCACGAATATTATTGTCTAGTTACACATATACGTATTGAAGAGTACAATATTGCATATACTAGAGCAGTTCTTTACCTAGAGTCCAACTTCTCGTCAACAAAAAGATATATTATAAAGGTGTTTAGGTAGTGGAGTATTTATCTCTGGAATAAATTAAGTAGCATATGTAGACCACATTCATATCGTACCTATCACTGCAATTGCAGCCGGGGATAATACAGGTTCACAGCCTTTGTCGCTTTTACCGTCACCTCTTCGTCCAAAATTGCAATTGCATTCATAGTTACCTTCTGAATCATGGCATGTCCCACCATGGCAACGATAGACGTCTTTGTACTTTGTCAAATCACACTCATTGATATCTGCAATTTTTGTGAGAAGAGATACATATGTAAGGGACTCAAAAGAAAACGAGAAAGGCACGTCATTAATCCTTTGTGCTAAGGTTTTTGTTACTGCAAACTATGAGCAATCACTAAAAATTGGGGAACATTCAGTAATTTCATAGGGGCCCAAAATACGTTATATCTATTTTTGGTCTGTGATTGTTTAAAAAATAATATATGGTTTAGCAAGGGATCAAAACCAGGAAGGACTACAATCACGGTGTTAAGCCAACACTGCTATCCATTTCCTGATTATAATGCAGTTCTTATCTACTTTTAAATATGTTATTGGAAAATTTTCAAGATTATGTGTTTGAGTTTCAATCCAAAACAATAAAAGTTTACTCAAAATCAGTTACAACAGGGCCATGAATCTTTATTTTTTTTCTACTTATTGTATCCCATGATGAAGCAGGGAGAATATCATGCATGATGAGAGCAACAAATCTACCGGACGTCGATTATCAGCTCCTTTTGAACTACACACATGACTGTTCACCATATGGTACAATTCATGAATGGTTCTGCGATGCTGGATTGCTGGTAGCAAGTGTGGTGTCTCAAGAAAAAGTTTCAAACAAGAGGACCTTGTGGAGGTATCCTCTCCTATGAAACTAAGAGGCCATGCACCAGACCTGTGCTAGTGACAAGTCCGATTTGAGCACCTGTAAGACACTAGTTCACGTGTGAATCATGTTTTCCGGAAAATGGTGCTTAACAGAAATTGTGATGAAAACTATTTGTTTGTTGGGAGGCATTATAATTTGAATCTTATTTTAACTATTAAATAGTATTATTATCCAATGTTGATATTAATTTGATTCATTTTTTCTAAAATATGAAAGGGCCAAATCCACTAAATCCTTCTGAACCAAATATTAATAATCACACAAGCATCTGAACAAGTGAACCATGAAGACTATTCAAACACTTAGCACTTATATATTCTTTATAATTATTGACCAACATAGCTTATCAAAAGGTTTGGAGAAATAACTCCAGATAGAATAAAATGAGAAATCAATTATTAAATTGATATGTTCCTTGTAGGGGATAACTCGTTTTCATATGGAAATCTTGCACCAAATTCAAATATCATTTATGTGCAACCTTATAATTTGCCCCCAATATATCATATGTTCCCCTTCCTCTCAAATATCCCGTAAAATAACCAAAATACCCTTATAACATAGGACCTACAAAAAATATAATGACCTTTAGCGCAAGGTCTGTAGAAAAGTATTCACTTCCCAATATGGTTGTAATTAAGCTAAAATAACATCCCAACAATTAGAATCAAATTATCACTTGATTATGTGGAACCTTGATGTGCGATATGGTAGCCTGAACCTTTTCCCATATTATAAGCCGCCAAATCCAAATCTCCTTTATGTAAAACATCAGTTTCCATGGCTCAGTTCTTAGCATTTGGTTCATTGCCCGCGATGAAAGATAGGATGACATGATGTGATATTTGGATCAGATTGCCTGACACTGGTGCAAACTGCTTAGTTTTTCAACGCAAGGCAGCTCCTTCACTAATTCAATCATTGCAGACATCAAGTTAATTGTGGCAAAGCTCTACCTTTTATTTGTCCGCTATGTTCACTGTTTACTGTACAACTGGTACACATTCTTGAATGTTTCGAGCAATCTAGCGCTTTTTTTCTTATTTCACATTCAACTCTAGATTTTATCCCTGGAGACAATTGTGAATGAAAAATTTCCTATCCTCAAACAAATGACTAGAAAACTTTATTCTCCAACACATAAAAGTACTAATGATGCCCAAAAACGCAACCTAGGTCACTGATTTGATGATATTACACTTTTCACCCTGGTTTATTCCGTTGTGTAAATGATGAATCAATGTTTTACACATGTAAAGCCAATACTTCTCTTTTTACGATATTTAACATGTGCCCGCCCTGACGAGGTTAACCTGCTTGTCAGGCTCTTGTGGAGATCAAATTGATGGAAGTTTATAATTTCCTTTTAAAGAGTTTTGAGTTGCATTGTAATTTTTTGAATTTGCTTCCAATATAATTTACAATTTTTTACAATTGAAAGCTTTCAATAAGTATTATTTAAATATGAATCTAATCCATCTAACATATAGTAATTCACAGAATTGTGAATGATATTATTTTGGGAACTATACGAGTTTTCAGTATCTCATTATCTTAAGTTGAATTGTCTTGATAATATAATAACATTATTTGAAATATTCAATGATTTTGAATGGGGAATATTGATGAGATTCATTTTCTTGGTTTTACATAATAGTATCTCACGCCAAATAGCACAAAAATAAAATCCTTAAGATAATTAATAAAACAATATATTTTCTTCTGGCGAGGGAGATAATCAAGTATAGTTGCGATTTATAGAAAATTTGCTTCCCTGCCAAAAGGAATATAAAAGGTGCAGTGAAGAAAAACATGTGCAACCGTTTTCTTTGTAAGGATTTCCGGCATATCCCTTGTTACATCTGCAGAAATAGCCTGGTGTGACATTACTTGCATTAACACAATGGCTGTGAGTGCTAATGCATACTCCATAGGGGAAGTACAACTTTTCATTGTCGCCATCCTTCAGTGGCGGTGGACATGTCACTTTCTCGTTCCTACCAATAGCCCAATCAAGAACAAGTGGGAAGACCTTTGTATTGCCATATTTTTGGGCTAAAGTCTCCCCAACGAGGTCTGCTCGGCTAAAATTGTACCTGTTTGACAAATTCATGTACAACTCAAAATTATTATTTTATTCGTCTAACAAATCCTTCTCATGCGATTTCTTCTTCAATTAACTGCACGCACTATGTGATTTCTTCTTTCAATTAACTGCGCACTATAATTTTGATTTCAAACATATCTTGTACACGAAGTAAAAAAGAAACGGAAGGAGTAGCATACATACCTGCCTTTCTGGGCCACGAAGGCATACTCACATCTGTTGGACGGCTTGTCCGGACTGTTGTTCTTGTTCCAGAACACAGAAACATAGTTGAGGCCGGTCGGAAGCGAGGCCTCGCAGCAGCCTTGGCCACTGCACGGCGCGCCGTCTTCCGCGGATTGGTTCACGCTGGCGCAGGTTGTGATGCACCCAGCAAGGTACCGACCGCCAGTACTGCTGCCACTGATCCTCGCCACCGAGCTGCAGCCAAGGTTTTGGTTACCAGTCGAAATTTCAAGATTTCCCATGGTTACCACGTATTTCCGTGCCCCTCGGTAAATCGTCATACCGAGCAAAAAATACCATTTTTTTGAAATTTTTGAATTTAAACACTCGATTTACAGTAAGGTATGTAGGGTCTAATTAATGCAATGAAAGTTGGTTATGGCATGTTGGTAGCAACCTAGTTCCTGTTTTGAGAGGTCTCTGGTTTGAATATTCGTTCATTTTCTTATTTGAATTCAAAATTCAACTATAAAATTCGCTCGAAATATTCTCGGTATTTGTCGGTATTTCTCGGTAACCGTGGTAACCACATTTATCAGTCCCCCTCGGTAAAATTACCTCATTCGGTAACCAAAACCTTGGCTGCAGCCGACTGCTGTGAAGACGTTGGCCACCGGCGACAGCAGGAATGGGCTACCTGCCAAGTTGACGGACATGCGCTGTGTACTCTCCTCTGCCATGTCGCAGACGTATGTTAACTGGGTATAGGCGACCATCTGCGCCGTCTCCAGCGTGATGTTGTCGATCCGGACGTTGCCTGTGACTGTGAGCAGTATCCCCTCGCTGCAGTTGAGGTGGAAGTTGGGCAGCGAACATTCGGAGCCGATGCCGAATGGGTAGGGGACTGTTACGTCCCCACACTTATCAGGACAGTCTCGTGGCTGCCGCGGCGACGCGCTGCACACGCCCTTGCCGATGCCGAGGAGGGCTATGTAGACCATGACTAGGAAGAACGTCGCTTGTGCCATGGAAGAATTGCTTTGTTTGCTGGCTCCTCTCTGTTCTTCTCGAGTAGTAACTAATGTATAGGCGAGGGGAACATACAGATGTGCCTGCAATTTGCAATTGTATAACACTGAAAGTCGCCGTTCTGTTGGCGTGCCACTTCACCCTATCCTCACATATGATCTAAACGATCTTATATTAATTCACAGAGGGAGTACATGAAGCACCTCTGGTGTCGCTCTCGTGCCAATTGAGAAATGTCAAAGTCGATCTACTCTTGAATTTCAGGGGCAATAATGATCCACAGCAGACGATCTGTCACAATGTCAAATATTATATTGAATTGCTATTTTTTTCAGTTGGATGATTTTCCTTCCGTATAGTAAGTATCTCGCACATACAATTGTGTACGGGGTGCATATTTAACGGCCAGTTGCGTATATATAACTGCAAGCTCAATACCGAACCATACATATATATACTTCATGTCGTTTTAGGACAAAATGCCAATCATCAGGGTATAGACATTTCTTCCTTGGATAGAGATAAGTTGAACTAACCACAATGTTTAATTTAGCCGCTTAACTCCAATACCGAATATAATACAAGGCCCAATTCTTGATACTGTTTAGGCGGGTGCTACAAATCATCAGAAAACGTTTAGAAACAGTCGGATGATTTTTTGGTTCGTCAGCCGCGTCGTGTGCCGTCTGATCGCACGCCATCGTGTGGCGCCGAGTCCGCGTGGAGTGCCTCTTTGTCCATCACGCTGAGTTAGCCTGCCCACTACTACCTGACTGCACACAGCACACCGATCAATCGCAACTGCATAGCGGCTAGCTTGCTCGCGTGAAGGTACGTGGTCCTGTGACTTAACTGTTCCTTTTTTACTTTTATATACATCATACGTATTGCTTTTGCCACATACCTGCATATTTGATGCTACAAATCATCTCAAGATGATATGTTCGACAAAAAAAGCTCAAGATGAAGCACATAGCAAGCATCAAAGGAGGATTTTCAACACATCATTTTGACGTTGATCATGGGTGTTTGTTGGGTTTGGTGCTAGCAAGCTCATGAACTCATCGTTGCTTGGATATAGCAATGTTTAGAGTAGCGTCCGTGACGCCGCGGCAGTTGAAGCATCCCATCACAACATCACTGGAGCAGTTAAGACTGCCGTCACTACTGATGTGACCGCAGCTCATGCCTATGACGCAAAATCAGTCATCTAAAATATCATTGCATGACAAAAATTCAGTCATATGAAAAGTACACCGGCAAAACAAAATAGTTTTACTTGTCACACAACAGAGTTCAACTCAAGGCACATATCACAATGCTTTGGTCTTCCCATGCCAATGGCTTTGCAGCCACTAGCTCTTACACCTTTTAATATTCTCCGCGACTTCGGTCATGGTTGGTCTGTCATCCACATCAACTTCGAGGCATTGCATCGCGATCAATCCAACCTCGCCGAGGCACTTTACATCCTCCCCGCTGGACAGAATCTCGGTATCATACATCTGCCCTGTAGCCCCTTCCATGGAAGCCTTGATATAGTTTAACGGAAGACTGTTGTTTCTATCATACCTTGCCTTCTTTTGGGTAATGAGTTCCAACAGCACGATCCCGAAGCTGTGCACATCACTTTTCTCTGTGAGGAGTCCAGTCTTCATATACACGGGGTCGATCACTACACCACGACACCACATTCCCTACTGACGTTGGTTGGGAAAAGTCAGCATACGTCAACACACAGTTTGTTGGCAATGTTTGTATCGAACCGTTGGTCGGTAATGCTTATTTAGGCAACTGACTGTCGGTCGGCAATAATCAGACATTTAGTGTCTCATTGTTCGACGGCAATATGCTTACACCCAGCCAACCATCGGTCGGGAAACAATACCGACCGACCGTTCGTTGGGCCAGCAAATAGCCCGCGCCAATCGTTTGGGCCAGCGAAATTGAGCTCCCGCGCGGGCCGAAAAAAGGCTTCGCGCCAACCGGCCTGAAAAATCTTCCACTAGCTTTTCTCCCTTTCCCCTACTAGTCACCACACAGTAACCCTATCCCTACCCACGTGTTCTTTCCGGCGATGGCGCCGCCATTCTCTTGTTCTCCGCCCCGCAGCCGCCCCATCTTCTCCTCAACTGCCTGACCTTATGCCCACCTCCTCCCACTCTCTCCGCCTTTCTGTGCTCCCGTCCTCCTAGTGCCTCCTCCCGGCTCCCGCATCCAGATGCGTCCGCCTAGGGTTTGCTGCCGCCGGAGATGGCTACCATGGAGGTCGGCCCCTTCAGATCTAGCGGCGCAGTCCTCTACCAGGTGAAGTAGTCAAGGAGGACGCAGCGCCGTCACCTGGCTGGTGCTGGGTGCCCCTCTGGCCCTCCTTCCGAGCGGTGTGTACCTTGCTCCTGGGGTAGCGCCGAGCGAAGGCGACGACTACAAGCAGCAGCAAAAGCGGCGCATGGCCAAGGATCTAGGCCTCCGACCGTTGGTGGTCGTTCTTGTGGCAGAAGCGGCAGTACAAAGTGCACGCCTCCCCCCAGTTCAGCCTTCCTCCATCAGATCTGGAGCCCCCGGTAAGCATATTCATAGTCCCGTCTTCATCGTGATTGTGGCAAAAGCTGGATATGGATGAAGACGAAGACCAAGGGCAGCTTTTGTATATCTGCTAGCTTTACATCCGTTTTTATCTGTAGTTTATTTTTGCCACGTGAAACAGGATGGGTTTAGATTTGTTCATGAAATTGGATGGGATAGAGATTGGACTGTAATGCGCAGATGTATTTTCAAGTAGATACCTACTGCCTAAACTACAAGAACACCTTACAGAAAGTCACTGAATCCAATTTTATGTTCTAGAGCTCCCAAATAGACACTGTGCTTCAGAATCAGCTCCAAATTCTTAATCCTGTAAAACTAACATCATTTGGTAAAACAGTAAAAATATGTTTCACAACGTGTAAAAACCATATGCATATGGGGAAACAAAAAGCGGCACCCAAATCAAGTGCATACCATTTTTAATCCTGTCTCTAGTTACTTTAATGTCCAAGGAAGTGTGACCCTCAACAACCTTATTATCTTGAGTGATTCATGATCTTCCATAAAAGAATATCATTTCATTGCAAATACAGCACCATTGTTATCGATTTCTTCGTTGCTATCACGTACCATATCCATACCAAAATGTAAGACGTTTTTGTAGGCCTACAAAAATGTCTTATATTTTGATATGGAGGCAATAACTTTTTGATCGTAATCCAAATCCAGACCATGAAAATCATTTGATTTGCAGGATTCTTCCTCCCGGCAGCAGCGCAATTTGTTGTCTTGCTCATCAGCTCCTAGCGGTGGTGCCCCGTGATACCCCATGGCCCCTGTCCACACCTGCTGGTGAGTTCTTCCGGAATGCTTCTAGGGAAAGTAGTGGCTAAACCCAACCTCGGTGCACCCACGCTGCACCCCCTTATCCAAACCGTCAAATTGTTTTGGGATTTGTGCAGTGGACCAGCCACTTTTGGTGGGATGCTAGGTTATTAGGAGTAGAATACATTTAGCGCTCGGGTAGCAGTCTATTTAGATTGTTTAGTAGCTAGTGATAGTAGTAAGTATATGCATGCGCACTGTTGCTGTCCCCTTGTCTCAGCTAGCTGCACAGCCTACATGAGAATAATGTGCATTGTTACTAGGTGCCACTCTTTCATGCACGAGGAGAGAGAAACCGTGAGGGGGAGAGAGAGATTTGACAGGAGACTATGATGTGCATGCATGTCAGAGAACTTCGACCAAGAGAACCGGATAGTGAGGGAAGAGAGAGATGGGCAGAAAGTGGTTCACAGTTTTAAGCGACTATGTGATTGAGTTATTTTTTATCTAAATGGAAGAGAGAAACTGCGCGAGAGATAATCTTTTTACTTGGTCAAATAGAAAAAGCCTTTTGTTTATAAGTGGAAGAAAAAACTCTGAGTGATGTTGTGCATGTGCATGCAGAATAGTTTAAGAGAGACACGACGTGAGGAGAGAGAAATGTCCAGCAGAGATTACTGTTTATGATGTGATTTAATATCTGCCGCATCTACTATTCCTGAAATAGATCTCAATGAGAGCATCACTACATGGACGGTCTAGATATTGGGTGCAGCGTGGGTGCACCTATGGTGGGTATAGAAAAACCACACTCATGCTTCTATGTATTCCTTGGTTGTTACTTATTGTATGAGAAAATAGGTTCCATGCTTTTTCTTTTCCATTTGAACCATGTCAAGACCCATCCCAGTACTTCCATTAATTATATGCATCCTCTGGTTCTGGTATTATTCTATTAGGATTTTACTGTTGATTCAAACATGCTGGTTATTTAGCCTTTTTCCGCCTTGAGTTATTTGGTGAGAAATTTGTAGCTATTCCAAGGGTGCTCCTTCAGTAAATATATTCTTACCTCCGCCATGTCAGGGGCACTTAGACATGAAAGGGGATGCTTCAGACACTAGTAGAAAAGGGGGCAATGGTCCAGGCCGGTCCAGCCCATTAGTCCCGGTTCAATCCAGAACCGGGACCAATGGGGGCATTGGACCCGGTTCTTGAGCCCCGGGGGCCGGCCGGGCCATGTGGGCCATTGGTCCCGGTTCGGCTGGACCTATTGGTCCCGGTTGGTGGGACGAACCGGGACCAATGGGCCTCGCTCTTGGCCCAACACCATTGGTCCCGGTTGGTGGGACGAACCGGGACCAAAGGGTTGATCCTCGTTGCGGCCAGAGTTTAGTCCCACCTCGCCAACCGAAGGGGAATCGGATCGGTTTATAAGCCCCTCCCTCTCTGCCATATTGAGCTCCTCTGAAAATGAAAATAGATGCCCTTATATAGGAAAATTAGCCTAAATTCATACGGATTTCGATTGAAATTCGTTATGAATTTAAGTTGATTTTCCTCTATAAGCGCACATATGCTCATTTCTGAGTAGTTTTTTATATTTTTCTTTTCTTTT